TCCACACCTCCCTTCTTCCTGGGCTTATCTTTACTCCTGATTTTCTGTACCTCCTTCCCCCAGCAGTTCAGGTGTATGAAAATGGAGGTTTTGGTCACTTCATCACATGTAACCTCTACTGCCCCCACACTATCTCCCTCCTCTCCTTGGGCTCCTCTCTCCATGGGGCCACACGTCCTACCAGGATCCTGCTGCAGTGTGGGTTTCCCAAGGGGTCACAGCCTCCCTTGGGCATCCAGCTGCTCTGACGTGGGGTCCTCCGGGGCTGCAGGTGGATTTCTGCTCCTGCATGGGCAGTGCCTCACCACAGCCTGCACTCTGGGCTTCAGGGGAACCTCTGCCCTGGCACCTGGAGCGGGTCCTGCCCCTCTTTCTGCACTGAATTTGGAGTCTGCAGAGTGTTTTCATGTATCCATCCTCCACATACTCATTCTTCTCTCTGGCTGCAGTTGCACAGGGCTTTTTCCCCCTTCCTAAATACATTATCCCAGAGATGATACCACTGTCAGTGATGAGCTCAGCCTTGTCCACTGAGTCCTTCCTTGGAGCTAGCTGGCATTGCCTCTGCCAGACATGGGAGAAGATTCTAGAAGAGCATCCACTGCCAGTACCTACCCAAAACCCTGCCACACAAATCCAGTGAAGACTTTTTTTCATTCTCCTTTCCAGTTATAGGCTTTGCCATCATGTTTGAGAGGTCCATTTCTGTGAAAGGGTGGTTGGCTACCCCAAGGGACTGTAGACAGAGTAGAACTAACTTTGCAGAGAGAAATCTGCCCTCAGAACACTAGATATTTAGCTTCTGTATGTACGTAGCAGGAAGCAATCAGCAGTGCTGGGATGCTGCCAGGATGTTCATGACAGGTTCACCAGGTCTCCTCATAACCTGCACTTTCGATAGATGGAAAGTTAATTTCTGCCAACAGGCATATATCTTGTCCATAATTGCATCAAAGCAATGCCATTCAATTATTTCTAGAACTGTCATGTATGAATTGCAACCTATAATTAGTGAAAATTGGCTTCTTCCTCAGATAACAACTTTTGTCAATCATGCAAGTATTGAATTGCCTGAAATCACTGGGTTGCATCACAGCCTCTAAAGCTCCAGAGATATTGAGCAAGTTACCTCTGGAACTTTTCTGCTTGGTACTTACGCATGTACTCATCAGAGATTATGCAATGATTAAATCCCCATATTTGGCCATGTTCCTTCCGGCTACTGCCTTCTCATGCACTTTGCTTTATCAAAGGAGTCCGAAAATCTCTGGAAATTACAGGAGGGAATTTCCCCCATCTGGTTCTGTGTTTCCTGGATGATCAGCAGTATTGCTGTAAGGTTTTATTTACATCAATTCAGAAAAGGTACTAATAAGCAATAAAACATCTCTTTGTGAGGATGAAAAACATGGAAACTGTTGTTAACTGCTAGTTGATTAACAACTCTCTGTTTCTCATCTTATTGTAGGACACAGGTAAAGATACTGACAGTGTCTGACATTCAAGTTCTTTATTTTAGTCTTTCATCTTTAATGTTAGACCTAAGTCCATAAAGTGACAATAATCAAATGGTTAATGATTATAAAATTCCTTTTCTGTCTTTCTCTTCAAAAGTCCATAAAGTATTTTAACCCTTGCATGGAAACCAGGCAGACTGCTCCTGTGCTTTTCTGTGATGGGGAGAATGATATGGTAAGCCCATCCCCTCCCCCCCAAAATTTTTTGCCCTGTATGGAGGTGTTTATCAAGGATGAACTATTAAGTCCTCTTCAGCATTTCAGACTTTCAGCAGGTATTTCTGTGAGTAAAAGTCCTTTGGGATATAAGAGAGAAAGCATATTATCAGGATGTAGCAGTTTGGTGACCAGAGAAAGTTGCCTCTGGCTGTAGCTTTGCAGATAGTGTCTGAGCGCAGTTTGACTCCCCAGTTCTCCTCTTTAACATCCCCAAGCTGCTCAGAATTGTCAGTTCCTCAGTGTTACTTGGGAAAAGGCTCAGTTTTTCCTAATGCATTTCTTCCACAGGTCTGACTGGATGGCTCTGCAGCACTGGCACCTAGGCTGTCTTTGCTGTTATACACACGGGAGGGTTTGAGCCTGTTTTCTCTGGCCCCTGGAACAACAGGAGAGGAAGATTAGGAGAGGATGAATGCTTTGTCAGTCTGTGTTTTGCTGCTCTGCCTTACTGTGACTGCAGGTGTTGTGAGGGGATCTGAGGAAGGACAACAGGAGTGAGGGAAGCTGAGAAGCTTGCAGCCAAGTCAAGTCAAAAAGACAAGTCAGGAAAATAAAATAAGAAACAAACAGCTAAATGTGAAAAACCCAGAAAAAAAATAATGTAGGGTTGATTGTGGCTTGGGAAGGAACCCAAGTTTAAGATCATGTTCAGGGAAGGGCCATGCTTAGGTTTGAGTATTTACAAGGGTGTTCAAACTAGGCTTTCCCATCCTGGGTGACCTGTCCCAGTGCCTCACCCCCTTGCTATGGAAAGGTTGCTTCCCTATGTCCAGTGGGAATTTCCCTTTTCACAGCTCGTGGCTGATACCTCTCATGCTAGGTCTGTACCCTCTGAGGAGACCCTGGACACAGCCCTCCCCACATGGGCCCCAGGGCAGGGAAATTATGGCCTCCCTTGACCTGGCAGCCCCCTTTGAACTGTTAAGACACTAAACATGTTTATATGGCACCTGCAGCTGACCAGGGATGGGTTTGGAGGTGCCATTGGCCACCCTAGGGCCTGGCAGCCTCATCTCTTGGTTGTGTGGCAGTCCCTGGCCAGCCTACATGGCCCCACTTGGTCACACATGTGCCAAAGGGAACCAGACTGAAAGTTTGGTTGGGTCAGGGTGGACAACAGTCACTGTCCCCTCATTCCCAGGGAATAATGAAAAACACTTCTCAGGAACATATAAGCACCTCCTTGTTTTTTTATATTTTTTTGCCTTCTGTTTGCATTAGGGATATGTGAAGGTAAAGACTGGTAAGATACAGTTATGTGTCATATCACAGCCAGCAGAGCTTTCTTCAGCTGTTTGCATTAAACCTTTTTGGATTGTTTTAACTACTTTGTGCAAATAAACTGAAGGTACTTTGTATACACCAAGTACAAGCAAAATGACAGTGCTCCTGAAGTTGGGGCCCTCCTTGTGGCTGCTGTTCTAAATCTGAATGTTAACCTAATTTCCTAAATCAAATAAAAAATGAGCTAAAAGGAACACCATGAGCACAAGTCCAGCTGTGACAAGGCACATCACCAGCTGTGGTCAGTTGTGGGAACCACTGGTGTGATGGAAACTGCCTGAGGGCAGGACTACAGGGTGAGCACTGCCTGAGTAGTGTCATCACCCTGGTATCCAAACTGCTGGGGCTTAGGTAGAAGTGTCAAAGCTCAGATGAGAAAATTCTGTCCAGGAAGCACTCAGTGGAGAAGAAATAGAACTGTAGAGTCGCAAAGAAGACATGAGATGCAAGGCCACCTCCATCTGGATAACAGCATGTCCTGGGAAATGGCATACGAAATGCCAAAGCTGGGTATAGCTGTAATAGACTTGGGATCCATGAAATCTGTATGTAAAAGAAAAAATGACCATTCTAGTCAGTGAGTTTGAGGCAGTGCCTAATGCCAACAAATAGTCTTTAAAGCAGTGCAGAGATAGCTGCATACTGAGAGCATTGATCTTTTTGTACTTTTGTGGCATTTCACTATGATCCATAAAACAGTTACAAAAAGCAGCATTCATTAGGGCATGGGTTCTTTGTTGCCTCATCCCCATCCTTTGGCCAGTTGCTGTGGCTCTGCAGAGAAGCATGTCCAGTATATGTAATGCCATGCACACTGCAAGGTTGCTCATGTATACTTCAGCCATATGAAATTCCTTCAATTCTCACTATTACATAGAGAAATTAATTTCTCTGAATAACAGTCTGTTCTAGAGTTCAAGCTGTTTCTGTTTCTACAAATCTCCCTTTGAGAGTGGTACTGGCACTCTGAATGATGGAAAGCATGTAATTTTGCACTGCCTATGACTGTCCATGAGCTCTACCTTAAGAGAAGCCACTTAAATCTCAGGTTACTCTACAAGCACCTGGAGCTGGCAGCAGCTCCTGTGAGCACTGGCTGGTCAGGACATGGCCTGCAGCCATCACAGTAGTTTCAGACAGATCCCTAAACAGCATGGGAAAGTTCCATCCTTGAGTGGCAGCTCAATCAATGTCATTGGAGTGGTGTCAGAACCTCTCCCTGGTGGTTTCTCTAGACAGTGCAAGGCAATTTTAAGATTTTGTGTATTTTTGTTGAATGGTTCAGGAGTCACAATACTCTGATACAGTTTGGGAATGCAAAAACTACAGCTATTGTTTATGAAGTGCATTAATGCATTATAGAAGGTACAGATTTTGAGAATATAGGCCCCATTTCAAGTTTCTTTTAAGCTCACTCTGTTGCAGATGAAATAGTTCAGACATGTAACAAACTGGCAGGAAGTCATGGCAGGAATATATGGTTAAGGAAATTAAATAAACCCATTTCCATGAATACTCAATGTTGCTCATGTGTCCTTGCCAATACTACAGTCCAGAGCTCAGAAAGTAGTAATCTGGAAACTCCACTGTGTTGGCCGATCAGGAAATATTAATGTACTACTTCGGTGTTGGTGCAGCTTGTGACCCAGCTCCTGTGGGTTTGCCACACTGAAATGAATCTGCTCCCACTCCCTCTGCTCCCAGGCTGGGTTTATTAAACTAGAGCAGAGAAGACACACGGTTTCTGTAGATAACATTTAAAGTTACCTAGATTTGACTTTCCACATTACACAACCCACACTCCTACCCCTGAAACGACACAGGCTGCACCCACAGAACCATTCATTACCATATAGACTTATTTCCTTTTCTTTTGGAAGGAACCTTTTAAGCAACTTAAAAAAGAATTACAATATTCCCCAGCACACTTATCTCCATTTGTACCCGGAAGGAGTGCAGGGGCCAAATCGGGCACGATGGAATTCGCTGTGGGGAACTCCGCTGATGACAGTGGAACCCGCCCGTGGGTGAATTCCCGAGGCTCCTGCCGCGCTTTATAAGCAGGTGCAGGTGTGGCAGGGCTGGCAGGAGCAGCAGGCAGGCACTCGCTGGAGCAGCTGTGTGTGCAGAGGGAATGAGTGGCTGCAGCAAGAGCATGGTCCTGCTTTCCCTGCTGGGGCTCCTGGCGCTGCTCCTGTGGGGCACCTCGGAAGGTGAGTGACCTCGGGCGTGCTGCCCGGGCAGGGCTCCTGGCGCTGCTCGCAGCAGGGTGAGGCTGAGCTGGAAGGGAATGCCTCCAGCAAAATGTGCTGTCTCCTGCCTCATCCCCCTTGTCTGTCATGAGGGAGCTGGATGGCTGGGGTAGAACAGTGAGTGCCCTGGACAGGATGGCCAAATGGGGTTTATTTATTTTGTTGCTGTCCTTCGCTCCAGCACATAGCAACCAGGACTGCTGCCTGTCCTACACCAAAGCGCGGCTGCCGCGGAAGGCTCTGAAGGGTTACACTGAGCAGCTCCCCAGTGAGGTCTGCGACATCCCTGCCATCATGTAAGTTACTTTTCTGAATCTCTGCTCTTTTTTCTGACGTGTATTAACCTTGGGATGTCTGTTTTGGTTAAACCAAGGATTTGAATGCTATCAGAATGATTTTCCCTGCCTTTTCTAAAAGTTAAATTGACTGAATAAATTGTATATCACACATGTAAAAAAACCACACAACCTCTAGTTGACAAAGACTGCTAACCCAAGGGACAGTCATACAATACAAATAATAAATCTGACTCTTTAGCAATCAGCTGTGCAAACAAAGACAGGTTTTGTCTCCAGCTAAGGGCCACTCTGGCCAACACGGAGTGCTCCCTTGCCAAAACCTGTGAACAGACACATAAGTGACAAGACTTGTCTAATTCACAGGGATCGGATGTTTTTCTTACAGGGTTTTGGCCTAGATGCTGATCTGTCACCTTAGCATGACAACAGCTATTCTCCTTAACTTTACAACTTGTTTCTGGCATCCAGCAAGGGTCTTTGCCTAAACAGATCAAATAAACTGAAAAAACATTTTATGGTGCAAAAAATGATCCCTGAGACTGAAGTAGCTATTACATTTAACTTCCTTTTTCTTCATATGATATTGGAGGGATTTGGATCATTCCATGTCTAACAGGTGTTTAGAAAAGCTGTTTCTATTGGTCATTATATAGAGCAAATGTACTCCAACAGCAGTTATTGGCAGGGATTTCTGATTTCTTTATCATTATTTCTTTTCTAGCTTCCACACTGCCAGTGGGCGGAATGCCTGTGTAAATCCTAATGAAAGCTGGGTGAAGAAACATCTCCTTTTCCTTAGGTAGGAATCCCTCTCTTTCCATCTCCTGTCAGACTTAGCTACTCCTTTCTTGAGTCTTCTCAGAGTCAGTCATGTCACCTGTCCTTTCTTCCACCTGAGCTATTCTCTCAGGGAAGAAGAGAAAACTGCAATTGAGGTCATTATTTATGTTCTCCCTTCCTTTTAACAGCCAGAAGCTCAGGAAGATGTCAGTCTGATGCAGTTTCCAGCAAGGAGTTAAACTCAAACATGGCTGAAGAAGCACTGGGTTGAGGCTCCTGGCTGAGATGGTTTGAACACTGCTGTGTGTTCACTCACCTCCAACTCTGGCTTCTTCGGAACTGATGAACTTCTTGAGTTGATTCATATTGCATCACTGTTTTGCTTGAGTTAAGCATGTTGTTAAAATTTCTATTTTTACTAATATGTGTATGTTACTGCTAGGACATGAGTGCTGTTTAGTAAGGTCTACCTTGAACTGTTGTACAGAGTGTGAATTTTATTAAGTTTATTGTATATTGTTTTTGTTTTCTTCAGCATATGTAAAGCAGGTTATTTATTCTGTTTATTTTGTTATTGTCTTGTGCCAAAATGTTTCCTTTAAGCTGTAGTTAGCATTATAATACCTCTTGAAGTATTATTAAATTAACTATTGTTAAACAAAGTCTGTTTGTAGAAAAAAAATGGTAACTGGAGATTTAAAAAAATTAAATGTTAAAATCAATACTCTCTATGATATGTTTATTTCTTTTTAATTGAAAACATGACTTGCCCTTGAAATTAATTCCTTTGTTAAGAGCCTCCAGCTGAAACAATTGCACAGGTGTGTTGACACCTGTTACAGCCACTTTCCACCTTACTCACTTTGCTTGCCCTAGGGGTAGCTATGACCTCCATAGGATGCAATTCCTTCCTCGCCTCCAGCCAGCTGCCATATATCAAGTTTTGTTTACCATGAAGACATAGTTTCATCTTAATCAGATTTGAGATAACTCCTTTTGCCAGTTTCTCTATTTAATCAGTAGGGGCCTTACACATTGTTACTGGGCAAGCTTCTAGCTTAGCCACTGAGGAGGGTTCATTGTTGTAACACAGTCTGCTCTCAACCTAAAGGGCTTTCTCTAGAGGAGAAACTTGCAGTGCTTTGCTCTGCTTTCTGTGTCTGCCTATGGTATCCTATGGCTTCCAGCATAATGAGGTTTTCATGATGCAGGAGCTCTTGATGGAGGTCAGGGATGCCTGATAGAATAATGAGACCTCAAGGAAGAGATAGGTGCAGGTGGGCAGGGGAGGACTGCTCAGCTTTTTACCCTCTATTACATGGCCCATGTGGACTTCAGGGATGTGACCATGTAGGGTGTGCAAGTGATGTCCTCCCACTTTCAGCACCGGAGTCTTATGGATAAATTTACATATTGCTTTTAGTACCTTTTAGTCATAGAAATACAAGCACCAATTTAAATTTAATTTTTAAACTTAAATGCAAAGTATTTTGGGTGCCCTTGAGAGAGGAGATGAGAGATACTGGGTTTTTAAAATGGTGTTCATTGAGTGTAAGGCTGTTATTTTCTGGTTTCAATGCCTGCTAGAACTTAAAAAATCTGCTTGTGGCTCTACAAATCTGGGACTTGTCAGTTCCCTGTGGGTGAAGCTCTCAAGGGGCAAAGTACCTAAAGGAGCAATATTAATTAGCTTTAATTTCCTTCAGGTGGATTCCTGATATTGAGAACATAAGGTATTCCCCAGTATTATCCAGTTTGTTCCTTGGGTATTCCCCTAACTTCTGGGCAGAAGCATGGAGCTCTGTCTCATACCTGCTAGTACTGGTATGAGCTGTTTGGGCTCAGAGAGTTCATAGGCTAAATCAGGTACCAAAAAGTGGTACAGACATGATGAATGGGTTTGTGTTAAAAGCTGGAAGGTGAGGTTCCCTAAGCCCACCCTGGGAACTGGTGTTAGGAACCAGAGCTGTAAAGAACTTGGTGCAGAAAAGCCTGGAGTCCATGGGTTGAATTTAAAGCAGGGGAGCAAAATAAGGAAGTGGAGACCAGTGTGTGGAATTCTGTGGGTGGCTCTTTATTCCCAGTTCAGGCCTCTTTAAAGTTTTGTGTTGCTCTGTAACTCATGCTTCCTCTGCTCCTCCATGGTACCACTGCTACAAAACCCCACGTGCTCCATCCACAGAGCTATGACTTGAGGGATTTATTTTTAGTTCCTCTTATTCTGGGTGAATTTTTTTTTATAACCAATCTCTTTGGAAGAGGAAAGATATTGAAAAGCTTGGTTTCCATGCTCAGTGTCAGAAATTGCTAAGGTTGTTATGTTACCGGTAGAAAAGTCTGTGTAGAAGCAGCATGTCCCTCCATGCCTTCCTGAGGATACAAACAGGTATTATAACTGAGTGCTGGGACTCCAAAATTATTAGATCAGAGGAACATTTTTGTATATAACCTTGAGTGGTCAGTTAGAAGTTATGATAGCTCTGTAAATCCTGACCCTTTCTAGGAAAACCTGAATCCTGATTACTTTGGTGGGACTGTTCTGCATGTGAGCAGGTGAGTTTCTGTCTCCTGTCTATCTTTGCCTCCAGCTCCTAATTCAGCCTGTGCAATTTTGTTGAATAATTTGAGATTCAGAATTAAATAATAGTCATTTGGAGACTTTTTCTCTTCCATTTAAATAGTATTTAAAACCCCAAAATTTTTGCAAAATGCTTTTTAATATAGTTTGGATATTTGGCAAGTGGATGTGAAAGCTTTCCCTTCAAACACTGAGCGCTTTATACTTCAGTTTCAAACTCTGTATTGAAACCTGTCCTCAGTGATTTTTGTGCTAGCTGCAGTATTGCTATTGAATCCTATTTGTGTCTATTCTTTCTGTGTGTGTTTTTTTTTATTTAATGATTTTTTTCTTCTTTTTAAAAGTTTTTTTTTTTTTTTTGAATATAATTTTTTTTTTAATTTTTTTTTTTTTTTTTTTTTTATTCTTGTTCTTCCAGTCTGTATTTTTTTACAATAAAGCAATCTCACATCTTTCTGAGTCAGCAATTGTAGCTGTTTGTTGTGTTAGGATCTTTGACAGAAAATTTTCTGTCCATGTATGGAATCATAACTAGATTTACTCATTTCTAATTTTTTTTTAATCACACACTAGCAAAAAGCAACAAAATAACTTAGCATTACATGGTCAGGGATTTTTGTTGGGAGTAGCAAATCTGATGATTTAATTTTGCTGTTAAAATATAAAACCTGCCACATTTCATCTGCTGAAGAAGTACTAACAAGTTATTTATTGCATTTTTCTTCAGTTGATGGCACCTTCGATAAGTTGAAGACTGTTTTATTCCTTCCTTGTCTCCTGATTTTTCCACCAAACGGGGAAAAACACAAAGGGGGTTGTAAAGTCCCTGCAAATCCAAGAGACTAATGGATGAATGGCCTTGTCCTGCAGTGCTCAGCTTTCAAGCATATCTGAAACCTAAGCTCTCCTGGGTGTGCTTAGTGACAGTGACACTTTCAGCCCCTCCATGGGGACGTGGACAATTGGTCAGTTATTTTCAATCACCAACGAGCCCACGTGCTGCCTGGCTTCACTCCTGATGAACAGGAGTGCACCAGCACAACACAAGTTTGTTGAGAATTGAATTGAGGAAGTACAGAACCGCAAAGGGCTTTAAGCTTATGATACTGTCATTTGATTCTAATGGCATCCACCCAGCTGGATAAACATCAAAACAATAAAAATGGATCAGTTGTAACAGACCTTCTGTACACTGAGGTCAGCTGTGTTACACCCTGGCAGTCTTGCTCCAAATATCAGGCTACAGGCAACATCCTTTGCCAAAAAATGAATCATAAAAGAAGCTTTTAGTCCTCAGAACAAACCCACTGTGTTGTGCATGCTAAGTATACTAAGCAATTAGAGCTGTATGACTGTACATAAGTGAAAACTATGATTTATGTTCCCATGATCTTGTGGTTGCTCCATTCTGGGAGGTGTCAGCCTTAACTGAGCAGTGTTGCAGCCGTAAGTCTGTAAAGGCTTTTGAATTGCTGTGTTTATTCTTTTGGTGCTGTCAGATGCAGCTTCCAGCCAAAGCCCTCCTAGAGCTGCTGGTGTTAGAGCATTTAAATGTGATATACAATAGCTGCAGTCCTGTGGTTGCTCTTGTACATTAGCCATAGAGTATTGCTCACAGACCTACCACTGTAAGTAAACCAGGCAGTCATTTAATAGTGTTTTAGCTTTCTTGAATTTTTAACATTATTCAAAGATTATAGAATACAAAATACATATTAAATGTAAAAGCAGCAGATGAAATTTAGAATACTGCATGGTAAAAAGCAGATATGCCACAGGAAAAGTAGAGTCAAAATGTCTATCAGAGATGATGCAAATCTCACACATCTGAGATACCTGCAAATCTCAAAGACTTGCTCAGTTTTGCATTCCCCAAATTGGTACAAGAGTAGGTAGAAATGTTTCGTGACTATGAAAGTGGGTGCTACTGTATTACTGTTAATTACAATTAATGGTTGATATACATGCACCTTATTTTGCACATCCATATGAAGAAGATCAAAATGATGCTAAAAAAAGAAGACAATGTAGTATGACTACCACACTTATTGAAGGATTATAGGATTATAGAATCATAGAATGGTTTGGGTTGGAAGGGACCTTAAAGATCATACAGTTTCAACCCCCCTGACATGGGCAGGGACACCTTCCACTAGACCAGGTTGCTTAAGGACCCATCCAACCCCAAACAACCCGGTCTTGAAACAGATATGGAAAAAAGAACTGTTTAAGTGAAATGCTTAATACATTTCATAATTATAGATAATAAGTATGAAATCACAAGTTAGTTATTTTGGCTTTAAGAAAAAAAATTATTACAAACAATGGTGAGATAAACACACTTCTACTTCAGCAAAGTCGTTTTTTCTAAAACAAAGTGGCTTTCTGTACTTATATTTTCCAGTTCTATTGTAGACTTACTAGAAATCATGTTTTTTTTGTCAGGAGTTTTTGCTGCCTCCTGACTCATGGTTTGACCCAGTTGTGCATTATGTATATGTAGAAGAGCACCTCTCTTTTCCACTGGGTGCATCTGGAAGACTTAGTGACCGCAGAGCACTTACGTTATTACCAACACCGTCAGCTTCGCCGTCTTGATGGGACAATGCAGAGCTCAGCCTAAAGGTCTTCATGGGCCATGGAAAGAAAGATTAAAAACATCTCTGAGTACTTCTCAGAAGCAGTAAGATAAATATATCTCATTGGGGGTTTTGTACTGAGGATTCTTTTGTTGTCAGGTCAACTCATAAACTTGGCCAAGTTAAGAGGAAAGTAATGAAAAGTGGACAGGAAGGAAAATTCTGTTTCAGCCAAGTGAAAATGTGATTGAAGCAAGTAAGGATGTATGGAATTCCTTGAGTTCATGGTATATGCAAGCAGTTTGTCAGAGATGGAAAATGGAAGACTAAGGAAGAGAACTACTGTTCCTTTCTGCTACTTGTTATTATTTCACTGCAACAATAGTTGCTTGAACATCACAAGCAACTATTCATGTGAAAAGAAATTTGTGGGTGACACACTTTCTTGGCAAATTGCAACTTGTAATTTTTTTTTTTTAATTTTAGATTTTTAAATTAATGAAAACAGCCATGCAAAGAGGATAAACAATCCTTGGGAAAGAGAAGACTGT